CCTGGATCCGTGTAAGTACCGCCCCGTCGCACTCGGGTGCACACCCTCCTGCCAGGAGGAACGGAAACAGAATCATGGTGCTTGTTAGGTATACGTGCACACCCTCACCTTCGTTTCTCCCATCACCTGCGTTTCTCCCATCACCTTCGTTTCTCCCATCACCTGCGCTTCTCCCCCCACCTTCGTTTCTCCCCTCACCTGCAGCTCCATCCATCCAATGCTGCTGCTGTCATGCGACGAGCACAGAGCAGCGCTGGCCTCCACAAACTGGTTCGTTTCGTGGGGGAAGCGGTGGCGCCCCATCTCCCACCTCCACATCCCACCTATCTCTCACGAACACCCCTCACCTGCAGCTCCATCCACCCGATGCTGCTGCTGTCATGAGACGAGCAGAGCGCAGCACTAGCTTCAAGGAACCGGTCCGTCTCGTGGGGGAAGCGGTGGCGGTACGCGCGGCGCTCATCGGGGTTCATGAAGTGGTAGGCGGTGGGGCGCTGCTGCATGCGCACGTCTAACACGTGTAGCTCCCCACTGCTCGTCTCAGTCTGAACGGATGTACCCGGGGTGAGAGATGAGGAAAGGTGAGAGGATGCGGTGAGATGAGATGAAGTGAGGTGGCATCAGGTGATTGCAAGGCGTGCCCTGCACTCGGGGGGAGCGGTATGTCTCGTGGGGGAAGCGGTGGTGGTAGGCGCAGCGCTCGTCTGGGTTCATGAAATGGTATGCGGTGGGGCGCTGCTGCATGCGCACGTCCAACACGTGTAACTCGCCACTGCTCGTTTCAGTCTGTAGAGGGTGAACAGACACAAGATGTGATGATACGAGATGGGACGAGAGATGAACGAATGGTGTGCCCCACGCTCATCAGGGTTCATGAAGTGGTAGGCGATGGGGCGCTGCTGCATGCGCACGTCCAGCACATGTAACTCCCCGCTGCTCGTTTCGGGCTGAAGGTTAGAGGGTGAACAAATATGAGATGAGAAGAAATGAGCAAGTGGTGGGCCGGAAGCAGGATCCGCGTGCATGCTCCGCGCGAGAGAGCCCCTTGACGTTGACCCCATCGGCATACGAGGCGAGCGCGCCTTGACACACACCACGTGCTCCTCAAAACCCACCAGTGCATGGGATGCCAAGTGCATGGGGTGCCAAGTGCATGGGGTGCCAAGTGCATGGGGTGCCAAGTGCATGGGGTGCCAAGTGCATGGGGTGCCAAGTGCATGGGGTGCCAAGTGCATGGGGTGCCAAGTGCATGGGGTGCCAAGTGCATGGGGTGCCAAGTGCATGGGGTGCCAAGTGCATGCGGTGCCAAGTGCATGCGGTGCCAAGTGCATGCGGTGCCAAGTGCATGCGGTGCCAAGTGCATGCGGTGCCAAGTGCATGCGGTGCCAAGTGCATGTGGTGCCAAGTGCATGTGGTGCCAAGTGCATGTGGTGCCAAGTGCATGTGGTGCCTAAACCCACCAGCGCCATGTATCTTGGAACTCCACAGGAAGCAGGATCCGCGTGCATGCTGCGAGCGAGCCCCTTCACATTGACCCCACCGGCATACGAGGCGAGCGCCGCCACGACGGCGTCCTCCTCGAACCCACCAGTGCATGCGGGGTGCCTACACTTACCAGCGCCATGTATCGGGGCACGCCACAAGAGGCAGGATCCGCATGCATGCTGCGAGCGAGCCCCTTCACATTGACCCCATCCGCATACGAGGCGAGCGCCGCCACGACCGCGTCCTCCTCAAACTTGGGGCACGCCTGCAGCCGCCCCAGCTGCTCCTGGAACGCCCACCGCCCGCCCTCCTCCACGCACCTGGGGGAGGGGAGGGGAGGGTCCGGGGGGAGTGGGGGGGGGTGGGAAGAGTGTGCATGAAGGTGCGGGCGAGTGCCGCCACGACGGCGTCCTCCTTGAACTTGACCGTGTGACAAAGAACAGGAAAAGGGGAGGGGCGGGGGGAAGGGGGGGGAGTGTGGGGGGGTGGGGTGCGGGCGAGCGCCGACGGCATCCTCCTCGAATTTGGGGCACGCCTGCAGCCGCCCCAGCTGCTCCTGAAACGCCCACCGCCCTCCCTCCTCCACACACCTAGGGCCACAGAAAGAAGGGAGAGGGGGGGGGGGGGAGGGGGGGGGGGAGAAGAGGGAGGGGGAGGGCGAGGGGGAAGGTTGGGAGGAGGGGTGGAATGAAATAGAAGCACAGGTGGGGGAAGGAGGGGTGGGGGGGTGGGTTGCCGGGGGGGGAGGAAGAGATGCAGGTGTGTTATCACTCGACTCAACACTCACCATTTCTTCAGAAGCCGCCGCCGGCTGTATTCTCTCTCCACAATCGCCAGAAACCGCACCAGCCGCCCCTTCATGTTCCCCCCGGACATCAGCAGCACCTGCGACAGCTTCCGCGCGTTCGCCCCCTCCGCTCCGCCTTCCCCGCCCCCTCCGCCCTTCACCTCCCCCTGCTTGAACCCCATGATCGTCTTCAGGTACTTCCGCGCAAAGGCCAACACCACCGCGCGCAACACCGCCTCTTCCGCCGCGCCCCCGCCTCCGCTACCGCCTCCGCCTCCCGCGGCTCCGCCAGCGGCGGACGCCGCCCCCGCCCCCGCCGACCCCGCCGCCGCGAGATTCTCCCGCGCGAGCAGCACGATGCTCGTCGCGAGTCGCCAGACGTCGTACTGGTAGTCTGCGATCACGGATTCGTCGGTGAGCGACAATCCGTACATGGGGCCCTCGCTGTCGCTGCCCGACGCTGTGAACGACGACGTGGAGCAGTCGCCGACGATCCACGTCACCGTGCGACTGTTACCGAAACGAGTCAGGCGCTCGTCGCCGCTGTACAATCGCGAGAGGTTATGCGTGGACGGTGGGTGAGAGATGCAGATGAATAGGGATATGAGAAAAGGGAATGCGAGGAAATGGGCCGCCGGTCAGAAAAAAAAACAAAATCAACCCAATCAACTCGCGAGGGCACCGGAACTCGACGAGGTATTCAGAAAACCCAGACCCAGGTGGGTGCTATGGAGTGCCGTGGAGCTGCTTCTATTACCTAGTCACCTGCTAATCGAATCAGCTAACAGCTTTGCGGGAAAGACTGACTGGATCAAAATTCTCTCACCTTAGGTCAGCCCAGAGAAGGTGAGCGCATGAGAGCATCTGAGCTCAAGCACGTGCCTAGAAACACTCGGACACACTTCCTTCACAAGAAATTGCTCACCTTCAACCCAACGGAAGGTGAACACATGAGAGCTTCTGAGCGTGAGCACGTGCTCAACTACCCCCGTTAACTGCTCACATACTCGGTCACATTTCCTTTACAGGAGAATCCTCACCTTAGGTCAGCCCAGAAGAGGTGATTGGTTCCCTGAAAGAAGGAAACCGGGGAGCGGCCAATGAGCGCGTATTTATGCGCCAAGGCGGACGCCGGAAGGCCCTTGTTCCACTCCTCGACGGACGCGATGACGTGCATCTCGCGATCCGACATGGCTGGCCTCGCCATGCCGTTCTCTTGCAGCACGGCGTCGCTCATGGCTGCGTGGAGCTAGTAAGGGGGGTCTGAGAGGTAAAATCCGTTACGCTGCTGAGTGGAGCTAGTCAGGGTGAAAGGGTTGGAGAGGAGACGTCTCGTGACGAGGCTGCGTGGAGTTACGGGTCGAAGAGCGGACAGAAGGAGGTCATCGACTCGTTTGGGAATGTGATCTGGAGAGGGATAACAGTATAAATGCTCGCTGACGGTCCCAATGCTCACTAAAAGTGATTTTCTGCAAGGGCGTAAGTGACTTGGCGCAAGCAGGACTGGCAGGTGATGGGAGAAGCTCAGAATGAAAATCAAAATTCGATGAATCGCAAACCTAAATTATGCCCAACATCGTTTCACACCTCCACCGGAAAGCCGACTAGCGTCGCAAATGTCGATAAAACAGAAGCTCGTTGAGGCGATGGACAGCCCTACTGAGCTTTACGTTGAAGCAGTGGAGCTCAAGGTTTTGTCATTACTGTGGTTGTGAGTGGGAATCTGAGGATCGAACTAGGAAGGCATGAAAGAATCTATGACTGGCCTGGACTTTCACCACGGTTATGTCTGGTACGTTGCAGTCCCAGACGGTAAAGGCTGAAACCAGCTTTTTCACCGTGTAGTACCCTTTTCAAACGCACTGAATGATCAGGACGAAAATGCGCGGGACACTTTTCAGAAACAAGTCCCAGTGTTGACTGATGACATTCAATGGCGGGGAGTGCAGATCAATTCGAGAGCGTGTTCACAAACGCCATCTGTTGAACCAGTCAGATTGAACGGGCGGTCAAGGGCTATAGGTCAGTGACTCGGTGCAAAACCTGCGCGTGTGAGCAGCAAGCAACCTCAAAAACGCCATCTGGTTTCTCGAGCTTGTCGAAACTCCTCACAGAAGGGGCCCTAGTCCCACGGCGTCTCTGAACCCGAGCATCGTTGCGAGGGAACGAAGGTGATTCATTCAGGGACTGCAGGTGGAATCTGAACTGAACTCAGTGGAACCTCGATAGTAGCAGATTCGCGTTGTAAATCTGCCTCAGATCAACAAGAAACAGTACAGTTACCACGCCAGATAATCCGATTATGTTGATTCGTGCGCGTGCATGGAATCTGGAGGAACTCTGACCAACGACATTCCCACCAGCCCCCTCGTCTCCCCTCCCTTAGTCTGAATTCTCTCCCGCCTTGAATTCGTCACTTGACGATACAGACCTGCCTGATTTCGTAGGAAGGACAATCGTCGTCGTTCTCCGTCGGTTTCCACTCCAAGCTCCCAGTGTCGTTGCCACGCTGCGCACAATGACTCCTACGTCGCACCTTGCGATATCGCGAATAAGACTTTTACCATTGGCATTCCAAGCATCCCGCCATTCCGGAACCCAAACCGCAGCAACTCGACCATGCGCCGTAGTCCTCTCGTTAGAAGCACAATCTTCACTAGCACAACCTCATTCGGCTCTTGATACGGCACGGCAGAAGCACCCTCTAACAGCGCGGCCGCGTCGTGACATGCGGCGTGATATGCGCCGCGACATGCGGGTGCGAATCTCGCGCATGGGCGGAGCGCAAGGACCTGGAGCGCCCGGGGGAGCAGGAGAGTCGAGCAGCCAATCAGACGCGGACGCGTGGCGGGAGCTGCTGCGCGGCGGGGAGGACGTGGCGCAAGTCATGTCTGACATGGCTAACATCGTAAGAGCGCAGAATACTGTGTGGCATGGTAAACCCCAACGCCGAACCCTCCAGCTGATGTTTTTATCACATTAATAAAAAATAAAAAAGAGAGTTCCTGCGGGGAACAAGTCATGTCTGACATGGCCAACATCGTAAGAGCACATGCTGGCTTGCGTTGCATCCCCTTCACCTTAAAGCGACGGGCAACTTTTGGCAGTGTTGGGTTCAGAAGTTTTTTTTTTGAACCAGGCTTGCCAGCGCGAAAGTGCTGGCTGGCGAAAACCAGGATTTCGTGCGGACACTTTCCATCCGCAGTAACAGTTCGCCAGGGTTCTGGGTTTTGGGTGGCAAATGTGCACCGTCGCTTTAAGACTCTGAACCCTGAACCCTGAAACTAAACCCTGATTTTTCAACCTTCAACAACACGCACTGAGCTGGACTAGATATCAAGCCTTGAAGGCCGGGACGAGGAGCTGGCAGTTCCACTTTGTGCAATCCACCCACACACTTGCGTCCACAACAATCCACACACAGCTGGACGAGATATCGGGCCTGGAGGGGCGGGAGGAGGAGCTGGCGGTGCAGATGGCAGCAGCAGCGGCCATAGCGGGGAGGGTCAGCACTCTCGACCAGTCGTTCCTGGTGGCGCTTGAGTTCATGATGGGGCAGGCTGACGCTAACAACGACTCCAAGGTGTGTCTAGGCGAGGGGGCAGGGTGGTCACAGCATGGCTTTGGGTCAGCACCTTGTGCCAGTTGTTCCTGGTGGCGCTTGAGTTCATGATGGGGCAGGCTGGTGCAAATAACGACTCCAAGGTGCGTGAGAGAGGGGGGCATAGCATAGTAACGTGAGTGGTACGATGGGGGACGAACCAGGTGGGTATGTATCAGGACCTTGGATTAGATCTGCCCTGATCCAGTATCGGCGTTACAGAAAGCATATGCACCGTCGCCCTAAAGATTTTTTCCCCTGCCCACACTCTTTTTTACCATGCTTGACACTGCGTATTTCAAGCATATTGACTACTCATCTCCACGTTGCATGCACATCCCCCTCTCCCACGCACCCTCCCCCGTTTTTCCCCCTCTTGTCCCTTCTCTCCTCGCAGGGCAGCTGGTTGCTGGAGGTGGTGAAGGAGCAGCTCCTGTCACAACTGCAGCAGAACCAACGGCTGGGCTGTTCAACCGTCATCCCTGGTCGACCACTCATCTCCATTCTGCATGCACTTCCTTCTCTCCCTCTTCCCCCTTCTCTCCTTCCAGGGCCGCTGGTTGCTGGAGGTGGTGAAGGAGCAGCTCCTGTCACAGCTGCAGCAGAAAATGCCTCCCCAGGTGAAACTAGAGGGGTTTTGGCACAGCCGCTGTGCTCCAGCTGCTGTGCTCCAGGTCTGGTCCGACCGATAGATTGCTTGTCGCATTGCCGCTTCTCGCTTCCTCTTCTTCTCCCAGCTCCTTTCTTAGGGTACATTCCTGGAGCGCGTCACAAAAGCCTCGCGTGGAAATGTTTGATGCTTAGGTGTAATGCGGTGCAGAGCGGTACACTGCTTTTGTGACGCCTAAATTAAAGACATGTCTTCGCAGGAATGAACCCTTAGTGGTTTCTCCCCTCCCCTCGCCACATCAGCCTTTTGTTTGGTCGCGTCAAATTCTCTTCTCTTTCACTGCTCCCATTTCCAGGTGCACGTGCTGTCTCTCCTCATCTCCACATCAGCCATTTTTTCGTCGCCCGATTTTTTCCCCGTTTCCCCTTCTCCTGTTTCCAGGTGCAGGTGGTGTCTCATCCTCATCTTCACATGACCCAAATTTTGGTCGCATAAAATATCTTCCTTTTCTCCCTTCTCCTGCTTCCAGGTGCAGGTGGTGTCCCTCCTTGTTGCCACGTGAGCCATTCTTTTGTGCAGGTGGTGTCCCTCCTCCTCCTGCAGGTGCCAATTTCCCCCCTCCTGCCAATTTTTTACACTTCTCCTGCTTCCAGGTGCAAGTGGTGTCCCTCCTTGTGGCCACGTCAGACAAGAACCGCCGGCGAGACATCATCACACGCGCGCTGGCAGGGGGCGGCAAGCTCCCTGCCGAGGCGAGTCCGGGCGGCAACATGGGCGGCATGGGCGGGATGGAACCACCGGAGGTGCATGTGCCTGGAGCCAGGCTGGAGGAAATAATTGCTCAGGCGGACGACCTCGTTGCTGTGAGTGCCGTGTTCTGAGTCGCATGGGCGGAAAGGACAACGTAGGCAAGAGCAAGGGGATGGAACCACCGGAGGTGAGGTGCATGTGCCTGGAGCTAGGCTGGAGGAGATCGTTGCTCAGGCGGACGACCTCGTTGCTGTGAGTGCCTGATTCTCCGTTTGGTTTTCCTTCACGTGTTTTGGGAAGAGGGGGGACAGCATCGGCGGGATGGAACGGAACCACCGGAGGTACATGTGCCGGGAGGGAGCCAGGCTGGAGAAAAACATTTCCCAGGCAGCCTACTTTTGAGGCGCCTCAAAAGGAAGTCATTTCCCAGGCGGATGACCTCGTTGCTGTGAGTGCTGGTGTGCGTGTTTGGTTTTCGTTGAAGCACATTGCAATCCATGCATGAAGGGTATGGGTGGCAAGGGCAGCAAAGGAATGGGTTGAATGGAACCACCGGAGGTGCATGTGCCGGGAGCCAGGCTGGAGGAAATCATTGCCCAGGCAGACGACCTCGTTGCTGTGAGTGCTGCTGAGTGTGCTGCTGTGAGTGCCTGGTCCTTCTTTATGTAGTTTGGGGAAAAGGGGGACAGCAAGGGCATGGAAGCACCGGAGGTGCATGTGCCAGGAGCCAGGCTGGAGGAAATCATTGCCCAGGCAGACGACCTCGTTGCTGTGAGTTCTTGTGTGCTGGCTTGAGGTTGCTAGTGGTGTGAGTCTGTGCTCTCCGCGTGCGTCACATGGGCATGTGCACGATGGCCGGCATGGAACCACCGGAGGTGCATGTGCCGGGAGCCCGGCTGGAGGAGATTCTAGCCCAGGCAGACGACCTCGTTGCTGTGAGTAACATTGACGGCATGGGATCAAGGGCATGGGCATGCGCAGCATGGGATGGAACCACCGGAGGGGGAAGTTTCTGGTGCCAGGCTGGGGGAGATTCTAGCCCAGGCGGATAACCTCGTTGCTGTGAGTGAAGGGGGGTGAAGGGGGGTGAAGGGGGGTGAAGGGGGGTGAAGGGGGGCGAAGGGGGGACGGCATGGGCGGCGTGGAATCATGAGAGGTGCATGTGCTGAGAGGCAGGCTGGGGGAGATTCTAGCCCAGGCGGATACCCTCGTTGCTGTGAGTGCTGAACAAGGTGACTTTTGAGTCAACTCAAAAGTCACCTGGGGGAGATTTTTGCCCAGGCGGATACCCATACCCTCGTTGCTGCGAGTGCTGAACCATGAACCCTCCTTCTCCCCATCCACCATCTTTTCTTCCCTCCTTTAATTCCCCCCACCCTCAACCACCAGTCAATGGAGGAGCAGTTGCCCATTCAGGACCGCCGTCTGCTGGCGCACGTGCTGCTAGCAGCCAGGGGGGCGAGCAGAGGGTCCTGGATGCCCCCCCCTCCATCAGTGATTGCGCACGGGATGAGGCGCAATCACTGATGGGGGGGGGGGGCATCCAGGACCCTCTGCTCGCCCGCCTGCTGCTAGCAAGGGAGGAGGCGCGGACCCTCATGGCGGGGCATCCAGGACCCTCTTCTCATCCCCTCGCTTCCCTCCATCCACCATCCCCGCCTTACCCCCCACCAGTCAATGGAGGAGCAGCTGCCCATTCAGGACCGCCGTCTGCTGGCGCGCCTGTTATTAGCAAGGGAGGAGGCGCGGACTCTCATGGCGGGGGGCGTTCAGGACCCTCGCAACGACGTGCGCCGCCTCAAGAATGTTCCCGAGGCTGAGGTACGGGAAGGAGGTACGGTAAGGGGGAGGAGGCACAGTCTCACATGGGGGGGGGCGGCGTTCAGGACCCTCGCAACGACGTGCGCCGCCTCAAGGAGGTTCCCGAGGCTGAGGTACAGGAGGGAGGTACAGTAAGGATGTATGGGAAGGAGGTTCAGGAAGGAGGTTCGGGAAGGAGGTTCGGGAAGGAGGTTTTTGTTGGGAGGAGGTTTGGAATGAGGTACGGGGAATGCGATGTTTATATCAATACTGGTGTGTGTGTCTCAACTACTGTTAGGTCTTTTGTCTGCCCGCCTCTTGTGTGTGTGTGTGCGTGGCTTTCGTGTGTGCGCGGCTTTCGTGTGTGCGCGGCTTTAGTGTGTGCGCGGCTTTAGTGTGTGCGTTTGCCCGTGCCACACAGGTGCGGTTCATATCAACACTGGTGGCCATGAGATCTCCAGATTTTCTGCGGAAGCGGATACTTGATGTCATGGAAGGAAGGGAGGAGGGCGAGTATATAAAGGGCAGTGACGGCCCTATCAAGGTAGGCTGTGCTTTATCTGGTACATGATATTCTATAAGTGCCTTCATTGTCTCTCTGTCCCCTGCCCTTTCACACCGTTCCCAACCCCTTCACACTGCACATCGCTCCTGGACCCTTCACACTGTTCCCTGACCTGTCACGTCGTTCTCAGACCTTGTGTGTGACTAACTTGCACACTGCATTCCGTGTGCAATTGGCATTGGCAGGTTCAGCAATCAAAGGGCTCTGCTCCTGTTCGGCCAGGTCACCTGCTGGACACCGTAACCAAGGTACACTACGCATTTTCAAACTCTCAAATGTTTTGTAAATAAGATAGCCACACTGGCTGGTATGGCAAGTTACAAAAGTTTATTCCTTTGTCCTGGGGTGCTGATGCAGGTCCTTGGCGGAATGTACAGGACAGGAGGGTCAGGGGTAACGGTTCAACAACTTGAATGGGTGAGCTGTTCGCATTTATTATTTAGTTATTAACAATTGTGCTCAACAATCAATCTGCGAAGTTCTTGTGCCGACTGTTACTACACTCAAACTACATCTTTGTTCCTTTTGCTCGCAGATACGAAAGGAGACGCTTGATGCCTTACAAAGAATAGGATACAGTCAATAACTGTATGCAATTGGTCGTTAGCCAAGCCATACAAGTTATCGTGTTCATTGTAGCCAACTCTGGGGGTTGTAGCACACAAGTTATCGTGTTCGTTGTCACCAAACCATTGCTATGATCGTAGCATGGGAAGGAAATAAATGGTCGAATGCTAGTTGAGATTCTGGAATGGAGATGCGTGATACAATGTGAAACAAACAAAGCAAGCATGCAAGGTTATCAAGTAATGTTGCGCAATTGTTCCTACCTACATGACATCAGAAGAATCATGAATATGCTAGATAATGCTTGCAGTGATTGTAACGAGAGGAGAGTATTGAAAGGGAAGAAAGAAAATATTGAAAGGGGAATACTTCAAAACCTGTTACGTTTGTGGGAATACTTGAAGGCTGTTACCTGTATGTTGAATCGAGATTGAAACTGTAATGTAAGAAGAACTCCGCCCATGCGGAATTGCAGTGACTGAACCTTCCGCACTTTCGCGGAATCGCGGGGGCATGCGCTTCCATCAGCGCGCGTGGCTCGGCTTTCATTGGCTGCCGGCGAAATCGCGCGCATCGGCGGAAATCGCGTTTCTCTCAAAAGAATCGACCCAAATTGCTCCGACTTCGCCACGTGGGCGTTTTTCTTAATTGAATGGACCGCCTTTCCCCCCGCCCCCCCCAACCTGTTTTTCCCACCCTTCCCCTCCGAAATTCGGGCACCCGCTGGATTTTTGTGGAATCACAAACAGTGCCGAATACATCCTCCCCACATCATGCCAAATCCTCCGTGTAGTTGTGGCATGCCACATCAGCTTTTGCAATTGACTCTTAGAGCGTATTCCTATCCTCGTATCAAGAAAACCTCATATCAAGATTGTACTTTTTGCCTGGTAAAAGTAGCGAGAGGTTTTGGGTTTAGGGGAATTTTCAGTGGGAGGTTGATATGAGGTTTTCTTGATACGAGGATAGGAATACGCTCTTAATAATTTCGGAGGTTGCTTCTCAATCACTAGAGGCTCTTATGCACGTTGATTGTATAATGTTTTTTTGGATTAGCCCATGTCATTAATGCTGGGCGCAAGAAAACACATGACAAATATCCAAGAGTTTTCTACGTTTTATATATTTTCTATCTTTTGTTTTCAAACCATAAAAAAAACTAGAGTTAAGTTTTACTAATTAATAATAGTAATCACTCTATGGCAAATCAAAATTAACTATATTTGAATTAGGTAGATATATTGTTTGATTTTTATGTTTGGTGTTATTAAGACAAGAATTAGTAACAAATAATTACAATTATTCTACAAATATATGTTACTGCAGCAGCATATCATTAACAAAATCCATATTACTGCTTAAGATCTTATTAAAATTCATATTATATTTAATTGTTATGCTCAAGCTATTACTAATTTCAGAATATATCAGATTTTGGTGCGCGAAGAAAATCACCAGTATTCTGTCCAATCAGACATCGCTCGCATATTGAAATCTTATCGTTACGAAAAAGCATGTATTCATGACTGTTTGTGATTAAACGAAATTCCAGTGGGTGCCCGAATTTCGGAGTTGAAGGGCGGGAAAAACGGGTTGGGGGAGCGGGGGGGAAAGCCGGTCCATTCAATTAAGAAAAACGCCCACGTGGCGAAGCCGGAGCAATTTGGGTCGATTCTTTTGAGAGAAACACGATTTCCGCCGATGCGCGCGATTTCGCCTTGGCTGCCGCAATTTTTTTCCGTTCCAAACATCTCATTCAAGCGACCCCTCTGCTGCACCTGGTCGCTGAAACCTCTCGAGGGTTTTCTTTGTGAGCTGCCCATGGTAGCGTTCTACTGGATCGCTCCCCGGTACCAATTGCGAGTTCGGTACCGCTAGCAGGGACTGCTTTGCTTCTGGGTTTCTTCCGCTTTCCCACTAAACAAAGTTCATTAGGTGTTCCTGTCCTGAAATTGGGGGGAAATTGGCGCAGACCATGTGTACCAAGTTCGGGAACCAATCCTGAAGTGGCCCAGCTAGTTAGCTGGTTCACTTCCGAAAGATGAGGTCCCGGGATCAAATCCCCCCTGCGGCGTGTTCTGCCAGCCCCCCAGAAGGGGGTTACACAGGTGCTTATCTGGGAGTGGATACAACAACCTCGATACCCAGCGAGTCGTGTAAACAAATGGGTAGGCGGGTTACGACCGACACCCGGGGTAATACACCAAGGGGGTTTCCCCATAACCTTTACCTTTACCAAGTTCGGGAACCTGTCAGCCTCCGTGCCGTAAACTCCAAAATCCAACAGTGCAACAAAAAAACCGAAAACGGCAATTCCAACCAATCCAGCAACCACTTCCACTTGGTCAACTTCGCCCCAGCTGCGCCTGCGCTTCCTTCGCTCCCTTCCCTTCCCCCTTCGTTGGTCCGCGCGACAATTTCAGGGGAAGGGTGAATGAATCGACTCCGCGACAGTATGAGGTTCAGTCAGTCAGAGCAGCAGAACAGAAGGCATCCTGCAGCAGCAGTTGAAGCTGGTTGGAGCAAATAGTGAAATAAAAACCGAAGCCCAAGGGGGTGTAGTTCCCTGCATGAGAAGGTTGTGCTGTGACTGACGGCAGTCTGTTGGATATTCCTTGCTCAGATTAGCTTCCAGTTTTTGCTATCTCAAGAACGCTGGTGGTATGCATTTTGGCGAACAACAGCTGGGACTTCTACCTGTCAACGCGTGAAGCCGTTTCTGCTTTCGGAAGTTGTAGTCCACGCAGTGATTTTGGGTGAGGTACGTATCCTTCAATATCTTGAGTCGTCCTTCTGAAAATCGTCCACCTTACCTATTGTTGTTTCCCGGTCGGCCTTGTACTCCCACTAGATTGTTCTCCATATGATCCCCTTTTCCCTGAACTCACACATCAAGCGCGAAAAACCGTAGCTGTGCCAACCATAACTTCGGTTTATGCATCCGCAAGCGCATATATTTCAAAAACATATCTTTAGCGCTGTGGTTACCTAGTGCGACATGCTCTACATGGACCTTCTTCAACCAGCAGTGCGTTTTTACCTTATTTACTGTCCTGCTCCAGACCTAATGCTCTTGATCGCCATCATCCTTCGTTTCCAACTCCCACCAGGTTCGCCATTGGATCGGGCGAAGGCGGAAGCTACCGGAACAGCGACTGTAGCCTTTTCACCGGAGCCAGCTGTTTATACCAAAACAGACTCAATATAACCAGCTGTTAAGGCCAGTCAGCACAGATAGCCAGTCAAAAGCCGCTTCATCGGAGCTACCGATGTCCACCCTGCAGGTCATAAGTCACCTCGATAGAAGCCGTACGATGTGGGGATAGTTACACCTTTAGCTACCGACAGCATTAATTATAAGATCCCGTCACCAACAGCAGTAGCAGCAACAGCCGATCACGATGGGGAGCGAGGCCGTTTTAAAGACGTTCTCAGGAGAGGAGCTTGACGAGGCCACGAATAACTACTCGCGGGAAAACTCGCTCGGTCGCGGCGGCTTCGGCACGGGCTATCGCGGAAAGCTCGCGGATGGTTCCCCCGTGCTTGTAATGAAGCTGAACCCCGATAACACCCGCGAGGCGGCGGAGAAATTCACCCGCGAAGTGACCATCCTCACGCGCGCGGACCACCCGCATCTGGTCAAGCTCCTCGGATACAATCCCGAGGCACGCTGTATCGTGTACGAGTCGCTCCCTGGGGGAACCCTGGAGGACCGTCTGCTGACGGAGGGGGGACGGAAAACGATGAAGCAGAAGCACCGGCTGCGGATCGCGGCGGAGGCGTCAGAGGCGTTGCTGTTCCTCCACCATCTCGAGCCGCCGATCCTTCACCAGGACGTGAAACCCGGTAACGTTATGTTGAACGAGGACCTGTCCTGTAAGGTCGGAGGAGTCGGTCTGGCGAAGTTCCTCCCCGCGAACGACTCGTCGATCTGGGGAACGGTGGGTTACATCGACCCGTTGCTTCTTCGCACGGGGAAATACGGTCCGCAGTCGGATCTGTACGGGCTCGGGCTGGTGATCTTGCAGCTTCTGACCGGAGAGAAGGTGAATAAGGTGCTCGAGTTTGCGAAATTCGGGTTGGAGGGGATTCTGGATCATTTGGATAAGACGGTTCAGTGGAACCCGGAAATTGCGAAGGAGGTTGCGGAGGTGGCACTCAAGTGCCGGGACAGGACGAACAGGCCGGATCTGGAAACGGTTGTGCTGCCCATGTTGAAGAAATTCGCGGAGCAGACCAAGGGGGAGAAGGATGCGGATGCTGCTCCGCCTGCCGCTGCTGCAGGTGGTGCTAAGGGTGGTGGAGGGACGAGTAAGGGGCACGAGAAGAAGGGAGCGGCCGCTGCTGCTGTTGCTGCTGCTGCGCCGCAGAAGAAGTCGTTGTTTGGGTACTTCTTTGGCAAGCGGTGAAGGGCGGAGGGTTCGGGAGGAGGGGAAGGGTGGAGGTTAAGGGAGGAGGCATTTGAGGCTCCTCAAAAGTGCGGCGGCAGCTGCTGCTCTGCGTAAGAAGTCGTAGTTTGGGTACTTCTTTGGCAAGCGGTGAAGGGCGGCTGGCTGTTGAGGGAGGATGGAAATTGATGAGGTACAGGAAGGAGGTGAAGGGACGAGGTAAAGGAAGGAGAGAGAGGAGGTGAGAGGAGGAGGTGAAGGGAACTTAGGAGCCAAGCTGCGGAAGGAATGGATGTAGGGGCACGTGTGTGGGCAGCAGCAGATCTGTGTTAGCGGCAGTGGGTGGTGGGAGGGAGGCTTGTAAGACGCGAGCGCGCTGCATTCGGTGCATTCAGTTTGGTGATGGGGTTGGGGATTGATGTTACGATAGGTTGTTCCTCAATCGACTCAACAAGATTGGGTGGTGGTTTTAATGCCACTACAGGTAGTGGCTCAGGAAGGATCTGAAGCAGAGGAGAGTTCGTGGAGAGTTGGGGGGAGAGCAAGAGGTGTGTGTGGGGGGAGGGAGAGGAGTGTGGGGGGATAAGGGGGAGAGAAGCTGTGGGTTGAAGGTGTCAAGGCGACTGTGAACTGGTGCCTGGGCCTTGCCTTGTGTGGCCGGTACTGGCTGGGTGTGACTGGGCGTGGCTGGGTGTGACTGGGCATGACTGGGTGAGACTGGGAATGGCTGGGTGCGACTGGGCATGGCTGCGTGTGACTGGGCATGGCTGGGTGTGACTGGGCATGGCTGCGTGTGACTGGGCATGGCTGGGTGTGACTGGGCCTGGCTGGATGTGGGTGGGTTGGGCTGGGGCTGACTGGGTGTGGGAGGGGTGTGTGTATGTATTGTGACAGGCTACCTGGACCACACATTCAGGAGGCTAAAGGTTTTCAAATGAAGCAGGCTCGTGTGGCAGAAAACATACCTTTTGATGGCTGTAGGGAGGTGTGGTTTTACCGTATGTGCTGAAAGGCTAGGTTGGGTAGGTAGGTTGATTTGGGTTGGGTCTGATGTAGTCGGATCATGCTTATAAGGCGGGTGTCCATGTTGCTGGGTGGGTACGCAGTGCCTGTGGAACATGCACCCTGCTAGGAATGAGCAGAATGTAGGTCAAACTTTCATCAGAGGGGTGAGCAGCTGGCCATGTGCTGTGCTGCCTTTTATCAAGTGTAGTGTATGCACCTTAGGGTAGGGTGGGTAGGGTGAGCAGCTGGCCATGTGCTGTGCTGCCTTTTTTTTCCCACTTTTTTTTTGCCATTGAGAGGGGTGGGTAGGGTTTGTTATAGGCTGGTGCAGTCATGTTTTGTGGGCTACTCTCCATGCTGTATCGGCTTATGATGCTCGCTTGATAACAAAATCGATTGTCATGGCATTTTTCTTACGCACAAACTAGATAAGTGAAGCAAACTGAAACGAGAACATCTTTGATGTCTATGATTGGACAATAGAATTTTCTTGCATCAGCGCTACGTGTACCACGTGTCAACCTTTGGATCCGACGTGAAACAGCAGCCATTGATGCTGAAGCAGTGACTCATCACAAGTCTCCTGTGGCCCTCATCCCTCATCCGATTGCCGAGGATTTCCCCACACGAACACGCAAACGAACCCACCACTCACGTTTGTCCAATAAGATCAGAGAGGTCAGGCAGGCGAGGGGGAAGTTGACTCGGGGAACCGCCAGTCACCTTGAGCACATGCCAGGGTGTCTTCTGATGTCGTGGGATGAATTGACGACCTGTGATTGGAGGGGCATTTCGAGTAACTCACACGAGCCACAGACAAGCTTGCGATTGGTGCTGGTTATGGATGACTCTCCCATCAAGACGGTTCGGAATCTCGTCAAATCCTCCTGACGGTACCGAGGCGCATGGAGAGTGACGGGACGGGACGGGACAACCTCAGTGCGAATATGGCCAAGTGCTCTGCTTTTGCGAAGGATGGTGCACTCACGAAACGTTTATCAGCGTTCGTCAGCACTTTATTCTCATGCATCACATGGTAACCATATCCACATTGGTCGCAGATTGTCAGATGGGATGGCATTTTTTGTGGCCATGAGAAGTTGGGTGGCGAAGGAACGTGGTTTCAGAAGGGTGACAATGAATGCAATAAGATGAAAGGTGGGTTGTGTGGGATACGGGAGTGACAAAAAGCTTACGCACTTTTCCAACCACCACTGAGTCCATGAGGTTCTACCAGTAGCAGAGATTGGTTGAGTTCGAGCAATCCTCAGTCCCTGCAAAGCTTTTCTCATGGCGTCAACATGCTAATATATGCCAGGGTACTGAGCAATGACGGATAAATAAACTCATAAGATACACTGTCTCTGAGATTAGAAGCAGACTGCAATCAGCTGGCTTCTCCCTTCGTTGCTCCAACAGCAGTTGTGGCTGTGGTGACCCAAAGGCCACTGCAGTAGAACTGCTTGGTTGAAGGGTGTGAACGCCGGCTGAGTAAGAAATCGCAATCATGGCGGCCGTGTCTGCATCAGTTCCCCGCGTAGCCGCTCACGCAAGTGGCATCTCGAATTGCTCCTCAGCGAAACTCGAGTCTGCATTTAACGGAGTCTCTGTGACGCCATGGAAGCAACAATCTATGCTCGCCAGCCAGCTTGCGTCTAAGGCCGCAAGAAGAGGCTCGCCTAGGGTCGTGGAAAAACTCGTGCCCGGAAAAATCGAGGCAACTATGGAGTTCTTTAAGGGCAAAATGTCCGAAGGGTTTCAAGAGGATGACATGGAGTACGCCCTAGCCACTGTCGTCGAAGCAAGTAAGTTAAAAAATCTTCCGGGAGAAGTATGATTGGTCAATTCTGAATGTGACGCGTAGGTTGCACGTTGCCGTTGACTAAAGCATTTATTCTTACTAATTTGACCTGCTTGATTGCCTAATTGCTTGATTGTGGATTGCTTGCTTTCTTGCTTGGTAAATTGCACAGATGAAGTGAAAAGCAACGTGGATGGTTTCGTCGTCAAGATGTCCGACGGCTCGCTTCTCAAATGCGCTCACACCAACCCCGATGGCGCAAGGCTCCCTGACTACACGGCTCAGCCGGCCATCGTTCTCAAGCTCGAGGACGGAAGCGGCATTCTTCTCCCGATAATTGTCTGTAAGTAGATATCGGCACCGCTCTCTCTGAATTCAGATAACTGTTCTTTAAACTATCTGCTCTCACTGTTATCCAGATGGCTTTCTTAGCCCGCTGATTTGCCGAGCTCCTGTTGGCAGATTTTTCTCGTTTCTATCCTGTGTCGTTGATTGTTCTTGTTCCTTCTCTCTTTCATCGTCCTTTCGCAGTGGACTTGCCGAGCCAAATGGCTCAAGAAGCCATCCGAAATGTCCCACTCGTGAGTACTTGCGAACTTTCAATCACATCGAGAAGCCTTCGTCGAAAACAACTATTTTGCCGCTTGAGCCTTCTGACGTTTGATTATCTTCTGTTATGTGTTCAGGCCAGGCCAACGGTGTACCTGGTGATGAGGGACATGATTGACATGATGGGATACAAGGTACGGATACAGCGAACCAGTGCAACATCAGCTTAAAGAAAAAAGGAAGCAAAGAACAGTAAAAGAGCAAGCAGCGCAGCTTTTATGTTCTGGTTTTCGACACTGATGATCCCAATTGACGTTACCCGTGTTGCTCTGTTACAGGTGAAGCTGGTCCGCGTCACTCACCGTGTGTGCGAGGCGTACTATGCCCGAATCTACCTCGAGAAGGTAAATATCCTGGACCACCAAACAGCCATTCACGGAAATTTCTTCTCTCTGCCACCCTGGAATGGAATTTTTAACCGCTGTTTGTGCTGCTTGTTTGTATTAATCACACACCCTACAGGTTGGCGAAGGTGGAGGAACGGTATTCAGTCTTGACCTGAGGCCATCTGATGCTATCAACCTGGCAATCAGAGCGAGGGTACGTCATCTCGTTTTTTAAACCTAACAAACATGGGATTTCTGTACTAACGTTTATTCATGGCCGTTTTCCACTCTGCATGTCAATCCATACTTCTTTTGCATGCCAATTGTTTTGCTTCTCGATTTCCAGGTGCCCATTCAGGTGAACAGGGCTCTGGCAGTTGGAGATGGCGTGAGAGTCGTCAGCACCGCGCCTCAGCCAGCAGCCCGTTCTGGCCGGACAGTTCGCCGGCGCAACTTTGCGCCCACAGAGGAGGACATGTGAGTCAGTCTGTTCTTGGATGGAACGTTGCACTTGAAACATTGAGAAGCGCAGAGGAACGAACCATGCTGTGCAGCATCCTGGGCATTTTGCTCTCCTTCATAAATGCTGAGAGTTTGCATTGCATTGAAAGTATATGTGGAAATCGGTACCGGTACACAAACTGAGTCTTGCAATTGATAAAAAATTCTGATTGCAGGCCTGATGCGTCAAGCATGGTGCTGCAAGACCTTACAGCGGAGTTCAGACTGCGTCAAGACATGCAGAAGGCCATAGAAGAGGAGCGGTTCAATGATGCAGGTATGGGCATGAACTGTAAAGAACTATGAGAGTGGTGGGATTACCGACAGAAATTATCTCCATCTGTATTCCTAATCTCATGGAACGCTGGCCACATTTGGAATTGCTACAGCGATGCCAGTTTCATGCCATTTCTGACCCTCCATCCCCAACCCCTTCACCCATTCCCAATCCCTCTCTTGGTCTAACGCCCATTCCAGCTAAAATCCGTGATGAGCTCACAGCCTTCCGCATGCTCAAGGCCAGGCATGAAGACTAAATCGCGAAGCTAGACTTGTTGAAAACGCTAGAGGAGTTCAACTGTGCATGACTGGAAGTGCCATAACGCGCGGCTGCGAGCAATCTGCCTGCTGCCGGGGTTCCTCTCTGGTTTGTAATGCTCGGGAAGCATAAAGTGCGTGTGCTCTCATTAGGAACTGCAGAGCCGCCAGTCAATTGCTGAGTGATCTGAGTGTAGGGTGTACATAGGTTTTGTGAGATTTTGTTTTGAATGTGTTATATATTGTGCATTTTGTTAATGAAACGCGGCACTATTATCATTCACACTTGCACCACAGGAAATTGGGACTCTGTCTGCAAGGCGCTACCTATCGCACTGTAAGATGACTTACAACAAACGTACGGGTAAAATCAACCCCATTGTGTCAAGATAGTAGCTTAGGAGGCTAGGGTTTGGGAAGAGAGAGTTGGCCAAGATAAGAGGGTTGCACTAACATTGGGTGTACAAGTTATAGGAAAGGGGAGGTGGTGAAGGGAGGTAGACCACCTAACGACAAGATAAGGTGATACTACACTACTAGCTAGCAATGCAATTATATAAGAACAACACATTCTGACACATCGGTACTCATGGAGAAATAACATTGGAATTGCTGTGCTCTAGTGGCTGAAACAAACGTACTGATACTGGTAGTAGCTACATCAGTCCAAGATTTCCAACACATCTGGTCGCATAATTTCAATCCCATCAACAACATGTCGAATCATCGGCCAATCAGGAGTCGCTGTCAACACCTCCGGGCATGCCCCCTCCATTCCCCCATCTCCCCCTCCATCCCCCACTCCACCACCCTCCTCCCCACCACCCCCCACCAAGATCGTATCTTCCGATCTTGTACCCGCTATAGACGGGTTCCATGCAAACGCTTGTGGCGAGCCCACATAATACCGTACACCCGGTTCCGCTTTCCACTCCCTAGTCCTGTACCCCGTCGCCCCCCCTTGGTGCTGATGCAGCCACTCATCCCGAAACCCTCTCTCCTCATAGGCCCGTTGGATACTCGCCATGATTGCGTCTGACGTGGCGCCGACACGCGTGCTGGCGATGGCAACGCTATCCACGTAGGTGACAGCGGTGTGCTTATAGCGAAGGGGCGAGTCAGCGGGGAGCGGCCCGAAGTGGATGACGCGGGAGAGGGAGGCGATAAGCCCGTGACGCCGCCCGGAGAGGGTTATGAGAAGGCGTGACTGTAACGAGGGAGGGGGCGTAAGGGGGAAAGGTGGGGGTCGAGAGGGGAGAAAAGGTTACAAGAAACAAATGCGAAAGAGGAAGAGCTAGCAGGGAGGGCGATGGCAACGCTGTCCACGTAGGTGACCGTGGTGTGCTTGTATCGAAGGGCCGAGTCAGCGGGGAGCGGGCCGAAGTGGATGACGCGGGAGAGGGAGGCGATAAGCCCGTGACGCCGACAAGAGAGGGTTACGAGGAACCGTGGCTTTAATGAAGGTTGGGTTGGGGGGGAAGGGGGGGAAAGGGGGAAAAGGACAAAGAAACGAGTGGGGAAGAGGGAGCAGGGAGGCGAGTACGGGATGCGGGGAGGGGGGGTGCACTAAAATGGGGAATTGTGGAGAAAAAAATAAACAGGCTGGTTAACACCCTACTCCAGCAGCATTGGAGCTTCTGACCTACGCTGGCTAACCAAACCCAACTCATTCATTTTCTCGCCCTCCCTCACTCACTCACCCATCACCCTCACTCACACATTCACTCTCTCACTCAACCTCACTCACTCATTCACTCCCTCACTCACTCACCCTCCCTCATTTACTCACTCTCTTTCTCACCTTTGCAACATTAGAAGTGGGCAGCGGATGCCGCCACTTATCCATCCTCTCATCTGCGCCCACCAGCAATAAAATAGGGTGAATTCCCCTCGCATAACACGCGCCCGCCACCGCCCCTGCGACCTCCTTCTCCGTCATCCCCCTCCTTAGCCCCCGCGCCACCTCCCCCAGGAGCTCCCCGCACTGCCGGGCTAGAACCCGGTATTTACCCACTTCGAAGGGGGTAAGAGTGGCTCTTAACTCGGAGAATATTGGGGTGAGAATGTCTCCCGTGTCTGCCTCGGGTTTGAACCCGCGACCTAGCGTCATGAGCCTAGTCGGGGGTTCGACGGAATGGGGGGAGTGGGGTAAGAAGGGTTGAGAGAGATGGGGGGTTGGACGGAACGAGTCATGTCTCCTGTGTCTGGCTCAGGCTTGAACCCGCGACCTAGCGTCATGAGCCTAGACGGGGGGTGGGCGGGAGTGCGGGAATAGGGAAATGAAGGGAATGGGGGATAGGGAAGATGAGGAATGGGGCAAACAAGTAGTGTCCCCCGTGTCTGGCTCGGGTTTGAACCCGCGACCTAGAGTCATGAGCCTAGACAGGGGGTGGGAAGGATTGGGGGAATGGGGGAACGGGGGGCGAGGAGGGAGGGGGGTTGAGGGAGATGGGGGAATGGGGGAAATGAGTCATGTCCCCTGTGTCTGCTCTGCCTCGAGCTTGAACCCGCGACCTGGAGTCATGATGAGCCTGATATGGGGGTAGGGGAGATGAGATCAGGAATTGGGAGGGAAGGGGGGAATGGGGGAATGGCGGGGGTCAGGGGATTGGGGGGGTATGGCAAATCGTTTGTGTCAGGTTTACCGTACCAAAAGTATTGTAACATTTTCCAACCTACCTGTTCAAGCAGGCAGAGTCGTCCCAGAACCACGGCGTGGCAAACACTTGAATGCTGCCATTCGTATTGCACTGCACTGCGTCACCTGTTACATTGTGAAGTCCAAAATTTACTGTACCAAACCTATTGTGTCAAATGTACTGTACGATAACTCTCCTTACTTCACCTACCTGTTCAAGTGAGCAGAGTCGTCCCAGAACCATGGCTTGGCGAAAACTTGAATGCTGCCAAGCCCTGCGAGCTCCTCTGCTGTAATTCGCTCCGCCTCGATGTTACTGGTTACCAGCACCACCCTGTCGGCATCCACAAACATAGACGCCACTCCCTGCAGGAATCAGGGTGTAGGGTTGATGATTAGTGTAGAACGATTAGTGAACAGCCTTCTGCCTCGATGTTACTGGTTACCAGCACCACCCTGTCCGCGTCCACAAACATAGACGCCACTCCCTGAAATGGGTGTGGGGGGGAGAGGGTCGGAGAGGGGGGGAGAAAGGAGAATTGGCCCCTGGTGAACGACAGAGTAACACGAGTCTGCCTCGATGTTACTGGTTACCAGCACCACCCTGTCGGCATCCACAAACATAGAGGCCACTCCCTGGGGAGTGGGGGTGGAGTGGAGGACGGTGGAATGATGATTGAAAAATAGCCCTGCCTCAATGTTACTGGTTACCACCCTGTCTGCATGAAGAAATATATAGGTTACACCCAGAATCGGAAATTGGGGAGGTATGGGTTTTTGGTAACCCGGTAACCGAATTCCTTTCATCTGGCACTGGCTTTGTGCCCTACCTGCTGAGTGTAAAGGCTGACGTAATTTCGACCGCCGGATGTGAGCCAGAAGAAGTTAGGGACGGACGAGATCAGCGCGGACTGGATCCCGCGATCCCGCAAAACTTGCCGCAATCGGCGCACTTTCTCCTGAAAATCCGCGCGACGCGGCTCGTCAACCTCCTCAATCTCAACCTCCTCCACGTCCTCTGCTGACGTGGAAGAATCTGACGCCAGTGCGGGCTCAGATGACGGTGAATCCATGAATGATTGAGTTACTGCCACGTGGATTCGTGGCGAAATTACGTCGAAGTGACTGACCAATCAAAGGCTGATTACGAAAAAAACTGGACGGAATGGCGGACTACCAACCGGACAGGTTGAGCCGGGGCAGTTCACAATAGGAACCAACCTAAGTAAGCGTTGAAGTAGCCACCAGTTTCGTTCAGAACAAGACTCGACGTTAAAGCGAGCAGGCAAAATAGTGAAGGGAGGCCCAGTTTGAAAGTGTGACACTGTTTCGGGAGGGTGCTCTAACCTCGACAAGAATGGGAGAACTATTCATCAAAAACTTGGGTAGCCAAGGAGAGAGGAAGAAGACTCTAAGGTGATTGGACAGCTAGGTTTAGGGTCCAATGCGAACACATTCATTGGTGGGCTTATTCTCCAATTCATTCCAAGAAAGGCGACAGGGATTATGTGCGACAGTTGAGCGAATACAAATGTCCGCCAAGAGGGGAGTTGAGTTTACAAAACGAACTCGCGCGAGAGAACAGGGCCACCAGAAAATGTGCAGAGGGCAGTAGCGAGCACGACTGAACCAGCGGGCCCACCCCCACAGCTTTCAAAGTGGACCTGGGTTGCACGCCACCCAGTGATAGCCTCAGTAGCGCTAAGGATACTGCACCAAACGCCGAAAAGCAAAGGGAGCGTAAAAAGCGGTGCTGAGACGTGCAAAAGAGAGCGAGGCCTGCTTAGCGTTTTAGTTCAGGGACACACGGCCATAGCGTCTATATTGCGTACCTCCATAGTACTGGCGCCGTCATTATCACCCAGAAAAGCGACAACATTTCGAGTGTCGACGCAGGTAATTAAGTTACAGGAACCTACATTCGTACGGACTGCAAGTAACAGTGCCGGCGCTACTCGCGTCCGGACGGATTGCTAGGAAGCGCTGCACCGGTATGTGATTTAGGACTGCTTGCAAGGCTGCTTCTAGCCAGAGAACTCGAGGTCTCACGGATTGCAATGCATTGCGCCGCGCCTCCTCGTTTTCAGACGTATTGCAAGGCCTTGTGCCTCGCCTGCATAGTAGGTGACGGAGTGCAACGCGCTGCGCCGCGCACGCACGTTTCCAGGAGGGAATGCTGCGCACTGCGCCGCGCATGCTCGTGCGAGTACACATTGCAACGCGCTGCGCCGCGGGAGCTCGTTTTCCGTAAGGAATGCTCCGCACTGCGCAGCGCATGCTTGCTCGGGGACAGATTGCAACGCGCTGGGCCGCGCATGCTCGTTTTCAAGAAGGAATGCAACGCACGGAACCGCGCATGCTCGTTCATTGACGTATTGCAACGCACTGCGCCATTCAAGCTCGTTTTGGCTGCGCCACGCCTGCTCGTTTTCAGTCAAATTGCAATGCACTGCGCCGCGCATGTAAGTTTTGGGACGGCTTGCAATGCAATGCGCCGCGCATCCGCGTTTTGGGGCGGGGAGCAATGCACTGCGTCGCGCCTCCTCGTGATGAAGCCCATTGCAAGGCACGGTGCCTCGCTTGCTCGCTTTCAGATGGATTATAAGGCACTGTGCCTCGCCTCTTCGTCTTCCTACGGACTGCAGAGCACTGTCCGTACCGACTGCTCATTTTCGTAGGGAATGTAAGGCTCTGCGCCGTGCCTCCTCGTGTTCAGCCTTCTTCTGCAATGCACTGCGTCAAGCCTGCTCATTTCCAGGCGGATTGCAAGGCACAGTGCTGCCTTGCCCCACTTCCCGTTTTCCCCTTCACTGTTGATTTCCGCTACCGCTGCTGTTGCCCCTACCCATTTCCGCAATACACATTCAATCCCTATTTCCCCTTCCCTCAATCCCTCCCCATATCCTCATTTCCCAGCCGCTCCCCATTTCCTCTTCCCTCCGTCCATCCCCATTTCCTCTTTTCCCAGTGACTCCACATATCCCCTTCCCTCCACATTTTTGCATCCCTCTGACACCCCCCATATCCCCATCCCCCTGTCCTTCCCAAGATCCTCTTTTCCCTGTCACTCCTCATATCCCCTGTACTACGACCCTCCCCATTTCCCCGTTTCCCAGTCACTCCCCATTTCCCCTTTACACAGTCACCGCTATGTTTCCCCTTCCCTTAATCCCGCCCCATTTCTCCGTTTCTCATTCACTCCCCAATTCCCAATCCCGCTGACCCTCCCCCATTCACTTCCGTGCGTCACTCCCCATTTCCCCATGGTTCCGTCCCTCCCCGTTTCCCTTTTTCCAAGACACCCCTCATATCTCTGCCCTCCGTCCCTCCCCATGTTGCCCGCCCTCCGTCCCTCCCCATTTTGCCGTGCCTCTGTTCCTCACCCTTTTGCACCATACACACCGCTCTCCCTCCCCATTTTGCCTTCCCTCTGTCCATCCCCATTTCCCCTTCCCTCTGTCACTCCCATTTCCCCTCCCCTATGTCCCTCCACGTTACCCCTTCTCTCTGTCACTCCCTGATTCCCTTCCCATACACTCCATGTTACCCCTTCCCTCTGTCCCTCCCCATTTTCCCTCCCTCTGTCCTTCCCCAATTCCCCTTCCCTCAGTCCCTCCCATTTCCCCGTCCCTCTGTCTCTCCCCATTTCCCCGTCCCTCTGTCCCTCCCCATTTCCTCTTCCCTCTGTCCCTTCCATTTCCCCTTCCTTCCGTCAATCCCATTTCTCCGCCCCTCTGTCCCTCCACATTTCCCCTCTCATCTTTCCCGCCCATTGCCACTTCCCTCTGTCACTCCCATTACCCCTTCCCTCTGTCCCTCCCCATTTCCCATCTCCCCTTTCCCACGACCCGCCACTTCCCTCTGTCCGTCCCAATCTGTCCTTCCTCATGTCCCCTTCCCCTTGTCCCTCCCCATATCCCTTCTCTATGTCACTCCCCATTTCCCTCTCCTTTCACTCCACGTTACCCCTTCCCTCTGTCCCTCGCCATTTCCCATTCCCTCTGTCCCTCCCCATTTCCCCTTCCCTCTGTCCCTCCCCATGCCCCTTTCCACTATCTCTCCCATTTCCCCTTCCCTCTCCTCCCACTTTCCCCTTCCCTCTGTCCCTCTTATTGCCCCTTCCCACTGCCCTCCCAATTCCCCTTTCTCTGTCCCTACCCATTTTCCCTCCCTCTGTTCTGAACCCAATTCCCCTTCCCTCTGTCCTTCCTCATTTCCCCTTCCCTCTGTCCTTCCTCATTTCCCCTCCCCTCTGTCCCTCCCCTCCTGCCTTCTCTCTGTCACTCCCCATTTCCCTTTCCACAACACTCCATCCATCCCTTCCCTCTGTCCCTCCCCATTTCCCCTACCCTAAGTCCCTCCACAATTTCCCTTCCCTCCCAGGCATCCCCGTGCCCTTCCCACTATCCCTCTCATTTACCCTTCCCTCTCCTTCCACAATTCCCCTTCCCTCTGTCCCTCGCATTGCCCCTTCCCACTGTCCTTCCCAATTCCCCTTTCCTCAATCCCTCCCCATTTCCCCTTCCCTCTGTCCCTCCCATTGCCACTTCCCAATTCTGTTAGAACAACCATGCGCGCACGGGTACCATTAGTAGCACCAATCAGTCCACTTGCTTCTCACAGCGCTGCCCACCAACCGCCGCCCGAATCGCCAAAACTGCCTCCCCCCCCCTCTAACCCCCCCATCCCCCCCCCCCCCCCAACAGCTTCCCCTCCCCATTTGCCTTCCCACCGTCCCTCCCCATTTTGCCTTCCCTCTGTCCCTCCCCAATTTGCCAAACCCTTTGTCCCTCCCCATTTTGCTTTCCCTCTGTCCCCATTTCCAGTCACGCCTGCGGCGCCCCCGCTGACTTGGCCATCAAGCTACCTGACGGGCCTGATTCTGACGACGCCCCTCGTGTGTACTAGTGTGAGTGTCCACGACTACTGGTGTAGTGTGCCTGGTGTTCACCTATGCACCCCCACTTACCGTCCTCAAACAGCCTACACCCATCACCCGTCCTCTTCACAACCTTCCCAAATCACTCGTCCTATCAACAACCTTCCCGCATCACCCGTCCGATACACGACCTCCCCATGCTTGAAAGCGGTGATCTGCACCGTGGCTCATGGAAGATTGCCGTCTCAAACACACACGCTTGCCCACTTTCCCTGCCATTCCGCCTCTGGCCAATTGTGTCTCACCCAAGCCACCAGTGCGAGCACGCATCACCAGCCTTTGCTCGTCACAGGACCCATTCCTTGCCTCAGCCCTACTCTCACCCTATAATAGTCCCATGCATCGCAGTCCATGGCCCTCTCACGCACATATCACGACATCGGCACAAGCCACCTCGCCTTGCAGATGACCCCTTCACACCCTTGCTTGCTCCTTCCACGGATATTCCCGCTCTGTCCCCTTACGCCATGGGAGGCATCACGGTCTATAGACCGCCAGCCTAACCCTGCGCACACGTCTTATAGAAGCACCAAACAGCCCACCTGCTTCTCACAGCACTGCGCCTTCTCGCTGTTCGACTAAAAATCAACGCATAGCGCTGCCCATACTCATGTTCGAACGGAAAGCAAGGGTTGGCGCTCCACCTCGACACATGCAAACGGATGGCAAGGCACAACGCTGCAGCTTGTTCTATCGGCCAGCAGGGCACAGCGAAGCGTCTAATAGATAAATCACACAGTCATGCCCGTTACCCTCAAACACAAGCACACAGTCACACTCCACCATCAAGGGAATAGCCCCCTTGAGGCCCCAAAGGCAACCCTCATGCCTCTGTCCCTCCGATTCCCCCACCCCTCTGTCTCTCCCCATTTCCCCTTCGCTCTTTCCCTCTCACTGCACCTTGCCTTAAACTACCATTTCCCCTTGCCCCTCCTCATTTCCACTACCCCCTATCCCTTGGCGATTTTCTCATCCCTCTGTCACTCCTCATTTCCCTTTCGCTGTGTTTCTCCCTAATTCACCTTCGGTTTGTCCATCCCCATTTCCCCTACCCTCTGTCCCCTCCCATTTCCCCACTTCATTGTCACTACATATTCCCCCTTCCCACTGCTCGTCCCCAGTTTCCGAACCCATTGCCCCTCCCAGTCCCCCTCCATCCAGTCTCTCCACATTTCCCCTTCCCTCTGTCCCTCCCACTGCACTGCCCTCTGTCCCTCCCGCTCCCCATTTTCCCATCCCAGCGAAGCTCCCTATTCCCCCATACCTCTGTCCCTCCCAATTGCCTAACCCACTGTCCATACCCATTTGCCTTCCCTCTCTCTTTCCATCAGCGCCTGTCTATACATCAAGCTGCCTGACGGGCTTGATTCTGACCACTCCGCTCGTGTGTACTAGTGTGACTGTCCCCGTTTATGTGTGTACCCCGTGTGTACTTGGGTTGCATGCTGGTGTTCACCTATTAGCTGCTGTCCTCCTCACAACCTTCTCCCCCCCCCCACTCTCCCTCCCCCTTCTCCCCTCCCCCACCCAGCTGCTACAAACCCCGCTGAGAAATCAAACGCTTCCGCTACCCTCGACTGTCGTCACTATCTCATCTCTGTCGTGCCTGTCACTTGCCACCAGCAGATCACTCCTTCTGCATCGTTATTCCCTTTCTCACCCTTCTGCCAGACGGAGCTCACATGTCCGGCACAGAGAGGGAGGGTGGCGACGAGGGTACCGGTCGTGCTGCCTTGGTGCAGGCTGGTGAAGCCAATGTGACTGAGACATCCAAGGCATTGCACAGGTTGCTGGAAAAAAGAAAACTCACTCTCAGTTGTCACTTGACCACACCATGGGCCATCCTACGCTGCGGATTGGCAAGCCTCATGGGAGGTGGATGCGTGCCACGGGATAGTGACATGATATTCTTGTTCATTGAAGCCGCCCCCGCTCTTGTTGACTGTTTACTTGACGCAGCCTCTGCTGCAGGTATGACAAATTAATCAACCATGCTCTTTGCCACCATCCTAATGTATTTCCAGCCCATCCACTCCTATCCGGCTGCCCAGATGCACGTCCGTTACAATCTGATTTACCTAGCTGCCCATTTTTTACCATAATTTTCAAACACATGCACATCGCACCCCATCCCATCCTGTTGCCCGTATGCCCATCCCTTTCAAATCCTTAATCAGTTTTGCATCACAAGCTCACCCTGAATCCATCATGTTGTTCACATGCTCATCCCTGTCAATCTGGTTTACCAATTTTCTAAATGTCTTGTGCCCGTCTTGGTGAAGGTGCGAGGGGATACGGCGTCAAGTCTGCATTCAAGGCGGGTGTGGATGCACACGCGTCATCGGTGCGAGTAAAGAAGAAAGGCCAAGGATTCCCTACAGTGAGGGAGCTTTATTCCCTCCGCTCGACACCAATCAGTGGTTTGGTGTACAGCTTTATCACAACGCCGGCGGAGCAGAATGACGCTGAGCCGGTGCCTGGGTTTCGATGGGGTGGGGCCAGACGTGGAACAGCCTATCAGTCGCTGAAAACTTCCGGTAAGATGCTATATCCTTATGAGTGATGCATTGGGTATACTAGCATAGGATGTGTTAGGTTGCTTATATATTGCTGTGTGGGTAATTTGTATTACAGTCATAGCAGGCTCAGTGTGTTCTACCACATTTCCAAATGCCGCCCCTACGTTCTAACCCACATGTTCAGTGCCCGGGACATTTCAACAAAGGGCGCGGTCAAAGTACCCACGGCATCTGCCACGCGTTACAACCCGCGCAGGCACGCTGCGGGAGCCCGACTCTGGCATGACGCAGCAGGATATGGCAGGCGGAACCACGAGCGAAGATGTTGAGGAGGGGTTGCAGGAGGAGGCAGTCGCAGAGATCGATGGAAACAACGAGGGGAGCGGCGGTGAGGATCAAGAACATGCGACAGGCGGCATGGGTGTTGTGAGGGATCGACACATGCCGACAAACAGGGGAGGTGCGACGAACATGGTGGAAGAATCAGCTCCAACAACGAGTGCATTCGCAAAGTGAGATGGACGAGCATGGTTACTGCAAATGTCGTACATGCGTTTTAACCTTTCCACATGCTTTTTGGAGTTGTTGCCAAACATGCTGTTCGGAGCAAAATTTTCATGCAATCATCAATGTGTCCATGGACCCCAAACGCCCAACAGTGACGATCCCCGTCATCAGAGTTTCGGATGCGGTGTCCCGCAAGGCTGGCCATCTTCACCGAGTCTTACTAACATTAGTAAGGGTACTATGTGCTACTTGGACACTGTGTGGTTTGTAAGGTTGATGCTGCTCTTCTCTCTTCAGTGCACTGCTGGTGTAGCGTGCGGAGGGACGATGCTTTTACAGTCATGGAAGAGGTCTTTGGGGGCATTTGGGTTGTTATGGAGGTGCTTGAAGTGTAAGCGCACTGAAGTTTGGTGGAATTGTAATCGAGAGGCGGATGTGGGTCAGGCATCAAAGAAAGGGCCAAAGATGCCGTGGCTCACCCGCACTGTGATGGGAGCATACGTGATAAGTGGTTGTGGGTACCAGACTCTGGAGTCCGTGTCACGCAACCTCGGTATCCCGATCCCTGCGGCGGGAACATTCTATTCGTATATGAAGAGCCCGCATGGTCTTTGGGCTAGTATTGTGCGTCAGAGTGAGTTATCGATGGCGAAAGCGAGAGAGGAAGTCAAGAAGAGGGGTGACACAAAAATATGGATAACCGCGGATGGAAGGTGGTCACAAGCGAGAGAGGGTGAATGGTGTACAGTATCGCTGATGGATAGGGAGACACGCAAGGTACTTCACTCCGTAACAATCAACAAGCATCGGCACGGTATTTCCTCTACGGCAATGGAGAAGGTGGCTTTCGAGCAAGCGATGCATGAACTGTCAGCGTTTGGGTTCAAGGTGGACGGTGTGATAACTGATGGGGGAACTAGTTTCAAGACGGTGCTGGCTTCCATGGGGTTGGAGCATCAGCAGGACGTGTGGCATATGGCCAGGACACTTATCAAGGCATTGCTGCGAGAGTTGGTGGATGCTCGCAAAGACGACAACATGACTGTAGAGGCGGCACGGACCATTGAGGACCTGTGGCACATCAAGAAACCAGCGTTATTCGGATGGCTTGAAAAGACGGGGAGGAAAGGGCGGCTGACAGTTTCGTCCACCAGGGAGGCGCTGATAAGGGCGGTGTGTTCCGGTCTTGGCACAATCGCTTTCAAGACCATCGATCCTTCGGAGGCGTCCTATAAGCATCCAGAGTTGCGACAGGTGGTTGTGCGAATGGCTGGGACAGGCACTGCAACAAATCATCTCGCAGAGGCGATTCGGACACTTGATGACGCACCCCCAGTGCCGTCGGAGGGAGATACGAATGCTGACAGCAATGCGGTAGTGTTTGAGGACGTGGCTCAGATGTTTGCCTGGGACCCACACCCAGTATACGGGGCACGCCCATCGTCATACGCATCACTGCTGTTGGCACAGGAGGTAGCTGGGCGATCGGACACGGTTGCGGCAGCTGCTGATACTGCGCCCAACAATGACGGAGCAAGGTGAGACGTTCGACATTATATGTTGATCACACGCACGTGTGTGTTTTATTCACGCATTGTATGTCACTGATCTCCCCCTCCACCGCTTCACATTCAGTATTTTGTGTCTCTAATGTTAATGCGGTTCCACGTGGCGCTCGTTAATGCATTTGTGCTCACCTGACATGCTTCTCCCCTCTTGCAACGGCCCGTGTGTAGAAGAAGTTGCGGCCACTCTAGCAGAGATTGGGGAGGTTAGGGATCGCGGGTGGTGGGACAACACGGGGGAAAACATGGAACCCGCTATTCAATCACCGATGGGTCGTGATGCACAAGCCAATGTCAAGGCCAGGGAAGGGGACAGGCGGTGGGTGCGCAAGGCTAAAAGAAGTAGGCACGCTAAGCCTACGGAGACAAGGGGTACTGATGGGGGGATTGATCCACCCGAAGGCATGGCAGCTGTTGAAGAAGTCAGTGTTCCCAACGGTACAGCATACACTTTCATCATGTGATGACGCGGTGTGCCACGCTTGCTAAAGAGGGCCGGCCCATGTCCCCTGGTGATGTTGTCCATGAACTTGCTTTATCTGCAGAGCATTGGGCCGGAGATCACTCAAGATGTGCACGGCATGGCATTGTCCCGCGATGTGTAGCCGATTCGTGGGGTCCCGAGAGTGCGGTATACGAACACGGTGGCACCACACACGGTCGCGTGTGGCTAAATAAGCACTGCAGCGCGGAGAAGATGCAACCATTCGTGCTAGGAGCGTCGAGCTGGGTGAACGAGTCCTTTCACTCTGTCGTATGCAAATACGCGCCGAAGAGAATTCACTTTCGTGGAAGTATGGAAGCAAGGATTGCGCTCTCCATCCTTCATTGGAACAACACAGTCGAGCGTCTCGTGATGAGACATATTGTGAGGCTACGGCGTGCAACGCGTGTGCGACGAGGGAAAAAGGGTCGCGTGCTTGGGCCAATGAATTGGCAATGGACCAAAGATATTTTCAACGAGTGGCGTCTCTCCTCCGCCATCACACCTTAGAGATACACAATCATCGGGTAAGTTATGTCATTGTTATCATTGCTGTACAGAAGGGCGTTCATTGCCCGCCGTAAATGACACGATGTGTCCTCATGCCAATTTATGCATCAATCTTTACCATGCTTTTGCGTAGGACTGGGTGCGGACGTATTGGGAAGGCCATGCATGTCACCACACAAGCGGCAGCGAAGCGTCCCACAAGAGTAGTGCATCACAAGGTACCTTTCATACATCATAGTGTCAAAACCACTCCACTCACACCCGTCCTTCACCCCCCACCCCTCCCCCCTTCCCTCGTTGTCCCAAATTACACCCCCCTCCATCGCTGCGTGTGCAACTCCATCCCCCCCCTCTTATCCCCCGTCCCCCCCATTTTCCCCTTACCCTCCGGTGCATATATAACTCTCTCCCCCCCATTCCCTTGCACTCACACCTCCACCCACCCCCGCTGCTATCACTCTCACTTGCAACACCGTTGATATTGCTTGCGTCCAATATCAATCTCATACACACACCCCCTTTTAGATATCACGCACCTCCACCCCCTCCCCCCGAGGCTCACTATGTCCTACGCTAATTTGTGTGCTCCCTCTCTCGCTCAAATTCGCATCTGCATTGCACTTCCGACACAAATCTGAAAACCTTTCTCCCCTCCGGCGATCTAAGATCACACACCCCCCTGTCCTTGCAATACCACCCACACTCAACCCCCGAGACTCTCACACTTAACCATTTTCCCGTGCTCTTGCGACTCGCCCACCCACCAATGGCCATCATTCACACACCCGACACTTACCCACACTCAGCCCTTCCCACTTTCGTACATGCCCTATATTTTTCCCTCTGCTACATTCCCCGTCTGCTCACCCTCATCTCCCCCTCTTCCTATACCGTATCCCCTCTTCCCTATCCTCCCTCTTCCTACGGTATTTCCTTCTTTCCTCCTCACACACTTTCTATATCCTCCTTTCCCCTCTTCGTATCCCCTTTCCCTCTCACCTCACATCCTCCTATCTCCGCCTTTCGCTTTCCCTAAACCCCACTTCCCTCTTCCCCCTCTTCCCTACCTCCCCAGTTTGACTGTTTTAGACGGTGCCTCCTCCCCATCCTTTGTGTTCTCTCCCTCTCCCTGGCTATTGCAGTGTCTACACTAAAGTTTTTTCTGGCACAGCAACTCGCCGACGCCCATCATCCCATGCCATGGCTGTAGAGAAACCAGTTTCCCGCAGGTTTTTTTCATGGCCTTGAGAAAGAAACAATCTAAAGTATTAAGAACATGCCTCTATCTACCCTTCTGACACTCTTAGTGTCCATGCATGTATATCCGAATATCTTGCACTGCAATAACAAAAGTACATATTGTGCCTTTGGGATGGATAACTCCAACAGTATTCTCATATCATGCTTGCATACAACACTACTGAAATTAGGTGGTACGGTGTAAAGCATCGACTAGCTGCGCCCCAGCTTGCTCCTCTACTTCAATACTGAGAAGTTGGAGAGTGGAGTAGGCAGAAATAATTGTGTGAAGAAACAGGGAGGGGGTGGTGTGAGGTGCAAGTGAACAACCGCAAGGGGATACAAGCAAGCGCACATGATGAAAGCATGTATGGGGAGACAGTGATGGGTGCACATGCATGGGAACTAGAGGGCGGAAGGTGAGGAGTGAGGGTCAAGGGGGGAAGCAGGAAAGGAAACTGAAGGGTTGAGAAGGGGAGAAGCAGGGAAGGGGATTGGGGGAAGCAGGGAAGGGGATGTGGGGAGCGACAGGGAAGGGGATGGGTTGAAGCAGGGAAGGGGATGGGGGGAAGCAGGGAAGGGGATAGGGGGAAGCAGGGATGGGGACGAGTGGAAGCAGGGAAGGGGATGGGGGAAAGTAGGGAAGGGGATGGAGGGAAGTAGGGAAGGGGATGGGGGGAAGCAGGGCATAGGGAGGGGGAAAGCAGGGCATAGGGAGGGGGGAAGCAGGGAGGAGGGAGGGGGGAAGCAGGGCGGAGGGAGGGGGGAAGTAGGGGGGGGGGGGAGGGGGGAAGCAGGGAGGAGGGAGGGGGGAAGCAGGGCGGAGGGAGGGGGGAAGCAGGGAGAAGGGTGGGGGGAAGCATGGCGGAGGGAGGGGGGAAGCAGGGAGGAGGGAGGGAGGAAGCAGGGCGGAGGGAGGGGGGAAGCAGGGAGGAGGGAGGGGGGAAGCAGGGCGGAGGGAGGGGGGAAGTAGGGGGGGGGGGAGGGGGGAAGCAGGGAGGAGGGAGGGGGGAAGCAGGGAGAAGGGAGGGGGGAAGCAGGGAGGAGGGAGGGGGGAAGCAGGGAGGAGGGAGGGGGGAAGCAGGGAGAAGGGAGGGGGGAAGCAGGGAGGAGGGAGGGGGGAAGCTGGGTGGAGGGAGGGGGGAAGCAGGGAGGAGGGAGGGGGGAAGCAGGGAGGAGGGAGGGGGGAAGCAGAGCGGAGGGAGGGGGGAAGCAGGGCGGAGGGAGGAGGGAAGCAGGGAGGAGGGAGGGGGCAAGCAGGGCGGAGGGAGGGGGGAAGCAGGGAGGAGGGAGGATTGAAGCAGGGAGGAGGGAGGGGGGAAGCCGGAGAGGCAATGGAGAATAGATTGGGGGGTAAATAGAGCTGGTGGGAGAAAGGGAGGTTGGTCAAAATAAAGAGGGGTGTAAACAGTGATGCTAGAAGTGAGGGGGACGGGGGGAGGGAGTGAGGGAAGTACAGGCTCTCCCCCTCTGTCTCTCCCTGTCTGCCCCTCCCCCTCTGTTCCTCCCCCTCTGTCCTTCCCCTGCTGTCTCTCCCCCTCTGCCCTTCCCCTTCTTTCTCTCCCCCTCTGTCCTTCCCCTTATGCCTCTCCCAATCTGTCCTTCCCCCTCTGTCTCTCCCCCTGTGTCCTTGCCCCTTTGTCTCAAACCCTCGGTCCTTACCCCTCTCTCCTGAGAGGGGTACATGAGAGGGACATTGGAAGAAAGGAAGAAAGCAAGGTAGTGAGGGACGGAGAGAGAGGAAGAGAGGGGAGAGATGGAGGGAGAGGGAGAGATGGAGGGAGGAAGAGAGGGAGCACTGGACGGAGGTTGGTTACTGGGGGGAATCATTGGCGGACTTCATGTGCGAGTAGGCTGCGCGCGCGAGAAAATGAAGAGGCGGGGTCGACGGGGAGAAGCGCGTGGGAAATGACGAGGCGGGGGCGACGAGGAAAAGCGCGTGGGAAATCGCGAGGCGGGGGCGACGAGGAGAAGCGCGTGGGAAATCGCGAGGCGGGGGCGACGAGGAGATGATCGCTTGTAAGCAGTGACGCGACTAAATCAGTCACGTGCACGGGAAGAAACAGGCACACACATGTTCACTTGCACTCATTGGCGCATGGTACATTTCGAGCGGTTCTGGTCTCGCGCTAGCGCGCGCTGCGCCGTGCCTAAACGGGCTCATCAATAGCTTGGACTAATCGCCGCGGGAGGTGCTATAGCTAGGCTTGTCAGAGTCGAGCAGATTTGGTCCCGCACATTTAGTCATGGGGTAGGCAGGGCGTGTTCGAGATGGGCCCTGCTCATTTCTCATGTGGCTTGTGTTGACTCTGTTTCAATTGGGGTGTTTCTGTCGCGGGTTGCAGGTGCTGCAGGAGTGTTATTCTGTCTTTGACGGTCCAATCAGAAGGTGCAAATACTACACACGATTGGGTGAGGAGCAGGTTTGCTCGCTAACGCATTCACAATGCTATCGCCAACCACACATGCGATCAACCGGACCCAGATTTTTTTTTGCGCCCCTCCTGCCATCCCACATGCCTCCTTTCTTTTGGCGCGTAAATTCTGGCCATCCACCCGCACTCCTTCCCGCCACTTCACCCATTTCAACCTGGACCCAACTAGAAAACGGGGTCACCATTTTGCCTGCTCGCTTTAACGTCGGAAGGGTTGCGTAGGCGTTACTTATTTCAATAGAAATGTTATGAGTTGTAAAAGAGAGTGCGCAGGTAAACGAATAACGAGACTGTGATTGAACGAACTGCGAATACAATGAATGCACAGACTAATGTAGGGCTAGCCTAGCTAGGAGGAAACCTCGGACAAGCGAGGTTGGGTGCAGGTTTGGCGATGGAAATGCCGAAGGCGACGCGAGGAGCCTCGGCAGCGTTGAAATCGGCCGAACGTGCGAACTCCGAAAATCGGGTTGTACGCGAAGCAGTCAACCCCGATAAGGAATTCGGGAAAATTCCTTACACCATCCCCCCCCTTAAGAAAGGCGGTCAATATCCGAAACACGCTTGCGCGCCAAGTAATCACCAACAAGTGGCGAGGCGTCGAGCGAGGCGGATGGCACCCACGTGTCGTCCTCACTGGTGCGGGCAGTCCAGCGGATTAAGAAATCCACGTGTCGGCCAGCTGCGTCAAGTCGAACCCGATGAGCCAGAATTTCCAAAGGGTCAAGGGTCGGCTCCGGAACAGGGCGTGCTGTCGGGGCAGCTTGCTGACGTGCGATGTCGGTCGTGGCTGGCACGAATTTGCGAAGAAGGCTGACGTGGAATGCGTCATGAATTCGCCAGTCGTCTGGTAGCAACAGCTTCGCGGTGACAGGTGTCACCATCTTGATAATCTTAAATGGCCCACAAAATCGTGGCCGTAGTTTCGACGGGCCGGGCAGGTGCAGGTTCTTCGTGTCAAGTAGCACTAATTGCCCAGGGGTCAAGACGAGTTCCCGGCGTAGAAGGTCGGTGTATTTGCGGGAAGTAATATTCGCCTTGCGAATTGCTTCGGCGGCTTTTTCCCGGGTTTCCTGGAGTTCCGTTACAGAAGTTTGTGACCTCGGTACCGGGTTGTCGAGAGAAGTCGCTGTAGGAACCGTCGGGTCCATCCCGTAATTCAGGAAAAACGGGGAGTGATTAGTCGTGCTGGACGGCGCGTTGTTGAAGGCGAACTCCAACATTGCGAGAGATTCTTCCCAGCGGGCCGGGTCGGGGCAGTTTGTCCTGATCAGCTGCTCCATGGTCTGATTGGTCCGCTCGGTTTGACCGTCCGTCTGTGGGTGATATGCCGATGAGAACTGTAGCTTCGTGCCGTACTGCGCCCATGTCTCCTTCCAGAACTTTGATGTGAACTTCGGGTCTCGGTCGCTGATGATCGCCGAAGGGATGCCGTGCAGTCGCACGACCGTTGAGATGAAGAGGCGCGCCGTTTCTTCGGCTGTGATTGTCGTTCGGCATGGTGCGAAGTGCGCCATTTTCGTGAAGCGATCGACGACGACGAGTACAGCGTCGTTGCCGGACGGCCCAGCTGGCATCCCCGTGACGAAATCCATCGTCACCTGCTGCCACGGTCGTTCGGGTGGCTCGAGGGGTTGCAGCAGCCCAGCTGGTCGTTGACGTGTCGATTTCATAGCTTGGCACACCCTGCATGAGGACACATATCGCTGCACGTCGTTAGAGGAGTCAGGCCAGTAATATTGACGGTGCAGTAATTTCTGGGTTTTATCAACCCCGAAGTGCCCTGAGAAATTCGAATCGTGGACCTCCTGGATAAGGAGTTCACGCAGCAGCCGGTAAGCGGGAACCCAAATCCGGTCAGTTCCGGCTTTTAGGTAGTAATCCACTTTCTGCGTCGTGGCTTGCTGATGATTCCCAGTCGTGAAGAACGGGTCCATAGTGTAGCCGTGGGTGAATAGTCCTGTAAGTAGCGGGTTCGAATGGGTGATGAGTACTGCAGCGGATTGTACTGTCGGTCGGGTCAGGGCGTCGGCGATGTTATTCGCCCCTTTCTTGTACGTGATGCGGTAGGTGAAATGGCTCTCCATGTAATCCAGCCACCGAATCTGTCGTGGGTTGAGGTTGGGTTGGGCTCGCAGGTACTGTAGGGACTTATGGTCTGTGCGAACAGTGACGTCGGCGCCCACCAGGTAGCATCGCCATAATTTAAACGCGTGTATGATGGCGAGCATCTCCTTGCCGTGAATCGGGTAGTTGCGTTCGGCTGCCTGCAGTTTGCGTGACTCGTAGGCGATCGGCTGCAACCCATTCCCGAAGTCTTGGAGAAGCACAGCTCCGATGGCGAAATCTGAGGCGTCGGTTACGACTTCGAACGGCTTCGATGGGTCGGCGATGCGCAGCACAGGAGGGGAAACCAGAAAATTCTTGAGTTCCTGGAAAGCCGCTTCTGCCTCCTCCCCCCACACAAAATTCTTGTCCTTGTGCAGCAGGTCGGTCAGCGGGCCGGTTATCCCCGCCATATTCGGGATAAACCGCCTGACGTAATTCACGAATCCGAGAAAACTTTGGAGTTCCGTGACATTCGTCGGGGACTTCCACTCCTGTATGGTCTTGATTTTCGCCGGGTCGATTTTAATGCCGTCGCGCGAGATGACGTGCCCCAAAAACTCCAACTCCTGCTTAAAAAACTCGCACTTAGAGCCCTTGGTGATGAGTCGGTTCTCCTGCAGCCGCTTAAACACTGCGTCCAAATCTCGGAGGTGCTAAAAATCAGGATATCGTCCAAGTAGACGATAACACACCGGTCTAGAAGGTCTCGGAAAACCCTGTTAATGGTCAGTTGAAATGTCGAAGGCGCGTTCGTGAGGCCGAAAGGCATCACTGTAAATTCGTAACTCCCGTAGCGTGTGCGAAACGCAGTCTTGTGACAATCGTCGGCGAAGACTCGAATCTGGTGGTAACCGCCACGTAAGTCAATCTTCGAGAAATAGCGAGCGCCGCGAAGTTGGTCGAGGAGGTCGTCGGTGCGTGGGATTGGATAGCGAGACTTGATGGTGACCCGGTTCAGCGCGCGATAGTCGATGCACATGCGAAGCCCGCCGTCCTTCTTCGGAGTGAACAGGATTGGTGCCGCGAAGGGAGATGTGCTGGCCCGAATGAACCCTTTCTCCAACAGCGCGTCAATTTGACTTCGCAGCTCCTCGAGTTCCGGCTGGGTCAACCGCCACTATGTCCGAACAGTCGGCTGCGCGCCAGGTTCCAGCTGGATTTTGTGGTCCTCAGGTCTCTCGGGTGGCAGTCCAGGTGGCAGGTCGTCGGGGAAAATGTCCGGGTACCTCCGAATCAGCTCCGCTAAATCCGGTGGTACAGCTGCACACAGCTTCTCGATGTCTTTTTCATCGGTGTCAACCGCCAACTCGCGTAAGCAGACAGCGAACAGCTGCGCGCCCCTGTTGAAGTGGCGAGCTATAGTGATAGCTTTGACGCACGGGGCTTGGATGTAGTCAGGTGTCCATGCAGGCAACTTAATTAGCCCCCCGTGCTTGTTGATGCTGCACGATCCCGTTGTCCAGTCGATGACGGGGTTGTGCCGTCGCAGCCAATCACGTCCGAGCAGTACGTCGCAGCCGTCCAATGTTGTCGCGAGAAACTTCATGCTGAAGCCGAAATCGTCGCCGCAGTCGATCCTGACCGTCCGTGTTTCTTCCGTAATCGCCAGAGGCGTCAATTTCGGGCAGACACCTGTCAAGTTGCAGCTTGCATTTTTTTGCGCTCGCCAAATTGAAGAGGCTATGGCTGGCCCCTCCATCGACGAACATTTTTAAATTATGTTTTAACACCTTGCCAGCGACCAGCACAGGGTGATCCACATGATTATCCCCGTTATTCGGCCGAGTGCGATCGATTGCATGAATCGGAACCACGACTCGGTGGGGATGATGGTGTTCGGGCGACGGAGCACAGTCAGTAAGGGGCCCGCTAATTACTGACTCTTCCCATTTCCCTGCTCCTTCCTGTCGTCCCCTGTCAGCGGCATTTTCTCCTGGCAGTCTTTCCTGTAGTGACCCACCTTCCCACACCGAAAACACGGACCCTTAGGAGGCCGGTCGGGTGTATGGACGGCGTTGATCGTGGCTCGATGGGTTTGGCCACGAAAGCTTCTCCCATCCCTGGAAGCTGCTCTCGCGTACTGCATCAGCGCATCAGTTGACTCTGTCAAACATTATATATGTTGTGTTAGTTTAGGCTACAGTGGGTTAGCCTATAGGGGGTACACAATTCTAGGGTTAGGTACTTGTACTCTTTTCATTGCTAGTTCATTCATTCCTGTTCAGTGATTCCAACATGGTATAGAGCAGGTCCTTCCTAGGACCGAAATTTTCTAAGGGCCCACCA